ATACCAAATGAGTTATGAGAGTCTGCAACGCCAAACAAATTAAGAAGACAGATAGAAACTTACAATAAACTACAAACAACATGTAGCGAAATAAATAATATTGTCGAATGCGACAATTACTCAATATACATATCATTTCTGCTCAAAAAAAGATAATTGTGAAAAAGTTGACTGGACATATAGATTTTATATTGTTTATTAATTAAATACTTAAATTAATTTAAAAAATTTATAAAAAATAATTTTTGAAGGTATTAGAAATAGTTTTAAATTAAGAAAAATGCCTATAATTAAATGATTTACATTTCAGTCTATAAATATTTAAAAAATTCAGAATTCTCTATTTTAATGTGAAAATTAACATAAGATATTCAACATAACGCAAATAATATTAACAAATTTTTTAGGCTGAAACTCTTCGTCGTAAGCAACGTCTATATGTATTTAAAGTAATTATTTATGTAAAGTAATAATATATTTAAAGTTAATTATTTGTTTACAAATAATAATTATATAATTATTATTATTATTATTATTATTATTATTATTATTATTATTATTATTATTATGAATTATATTGTTATTATTGAATATTTATTATTACAATTATCTATTCTATAATAGAAAGACTAGCATATGTATCAAATATGGTATTTTTTGCCGTGATTATTCAATAAAATGGATCGTTTTGGTAATAAAAGATAGTAAGGTGCCAAAATAAAGAGATAAATAATTTTTAAATAATAAAGAATTTATTTTTATTCTTAAAAATATAAATAATGTTTTATTTTTAATTAAAATAATTTAAAAGTTTTAATGGAAAATCATATAAAAATTAAAAAATTAAAGAAATAGTATTAAGAGCTAAGAAATAGTATTTAAATTTTCAGCTTCAAATATTACATGGCTGAACTGTATAAATGTAGCTGTAGTTCTCGCTTTATTTACAAAACCTGTCTTGTGTTTGTATAAATCAATTAATGTTAAAAATTTTACAAAATATCTTATAAACCCTGCTAATAATTCTAATATTATTTAACATTATACTATACGACTTTCTAATTCTTCGACTGGCTCTTTTTAAATGATGAAAAATACTTCTCAGCTCCGCCATTTGCTACTAATATCATTACTCTTCGTTGAAGAGAATTTCCTGTATGAGAGAAAATTTTTTTGAATTATTTATAGGAAATATAATTTTTTGACAAATCTTTTTCATACCAACAAATTATACAAGCAATTAAACAACAAATTACTTTAATTTGTCCGTTTTTAGAGCAATTTTAATTTTTTGTGAGGTGTCACCAGTAACACCGAATCAAAAATTCAGATAGATCATTTGTCAAAATACAAAATATTTAAATGCTTTAAAATTTGATGAAACTACAGTATAAATAAACAGATAAGTAAAAAGATATAAATATCTCCATAATAAATTAATTTTTAATAATATTTATTTTGATAATAAAATAATAAAATAAATTATAAAACAATGAATATTTTTATTCGCAACTTAGTAATGCGGCAGCGCCAATTATTGGCAATGAGGAAGTGACAAACTTAAATAGATTTTTAGACTTAAATGTTTCATGTTTTAGGTTCAAATTTTGATAATTCTTGCATTTTTACAAGATTTTAAGGTCTAAATTTTTTAATTTGAGATATTATGTTCAATTTTTCATTTTAAATTTATGATTTTTCAATACATATTAGATAAGTAGTTATGAGAAATTTTTAATGATATTTTAATTATTAATCATTTATTTAATTATTAATTTGCAAACTGAAGAAGATGCAATTCCGGCAAGAAAACAAGAAAAGGCAGAGTTGTGGTAATTTGATTAGTGTTAATTGGAGGATTTATTGTAGCATTAGCTAATTACATATACATATAAAGGTTACTTCAATTTAAAAATTGTGGGTTTTGTTTTATTATTAACAAACAAAAATTTTACCGATAAAAAATTATAAGGACGAATAAGCAAATATATTTTGTCAAAAATAGAGAACTTCTAAATATACACAAGATTTTCAGAAAGAAATTTAAAATTTTAATTTATTATTATTTGAATGATGATGATAAATTTTTAATAAAATCTAAAAACGTTTATATAAAGATTGGTTCCTTGTCAAAATTATTTCTGGCTTGAAGCTTTGGCCTAAGGACATAAATTGAATAATAGACACCGTGTGTGTTATAAATTAAAATATATATTATAAAATTAATTATAAATAATAAATAAAATAACTAATACTGATTTTTTTTAACAGTTATAACATTTATCCATCTTGTCAAAAGAAGTAGCACATATATAACAAATTATGGAGTAAAATTTTTTTATTAATTTGCATTCATCAAAAGTGACGTTCGGCGAAATTGATCTTATTCTAGATGAAGTTAAAAACATACATAAATTCAATAACACATTTTTGACAGTTTCGTCAATGAAAAATAATACCATAAACTTAAAAAAAATTGGACTTGATGCATCTATTGAAGTTTTAAAGAAATTAGTAATGTGAAAAGGATATGATAATGATTATATGATAATAAAAAGGATTCTGTAATGATTTATTCTTTACATTTTTACTTAATTATTTAATAATAGAGGGCTATCAAAAATAATGAATATAAATATATCATTTATAAAGAATAAAGAATATATTAAAATAGTTCATTAAAATAATTCTTCACTATTAACCTGAAAACAGTGGTAAAACTTAAAAATAAAAAATTATAAAATTATATAAATATTAATCCATTAAATGTCATTTTTTCTCATTTTGCATGTTTTATCTAAAAGATAATTTAATGATTCTCTTAGTATATTTTGTAACCATAACTTTTTTCGTAACATTACTTCGTCGGGTCAAGTAATGTTACGTCGGTCAATTACTTGTCGGGTTACTTCGTCGTTCGTCGGGGCAGTGATGGCTGGAGTGTGAGAATTGGAATAACCATAATGGCTGCATGCATTTTTAGATTATTTAAAAGTTTTAAACTATTAAAACTACACTAATCATAGATACCCCTTTTATTAGAAATTTTTTCCTATAATGAGGTGCATCTTACAGCGAGGTATTTTTTAAATTTAATAATTGATCTTATAAATAGATATATATTAAAAAAATATATTTATATTTAAATATATTTATAAATATTAAAATTAAAAATATTATATTTAAATATTATATTTAAATATATTATTATTTTTAATTATTTACTACTTATAAATATTATATTTAAATAGTTTTTAAATATATTTATATTTACTATATATAATATTTACTATATAAAAGTTCTTTTTAAAATATTTATATTGAAACGCTTGTTACAGTACATATTTATTGGATATGATCTGTCATCACTTTTTTCTACATTTTAAACCACAAAAATAATATGCAAATTTAAACTAATGAAATCAATATAATTTTAAGAAAAAGCTATGATTGAATAAAATATTATATTCACATTAAAATAGCTAAAATTTTATAAATATCTTGTAAATTAGGTATAATGTGATAAATTTAAGTCAATTATCAAACGTAAAAATATTTTTTAATTTTATTTTATAACGTATAAACTAAGTAATGTTATAAATATGGATGATTAGCATTCAAATAATATAATTGGCATTCAAACTGAATAAAGCATCTTATCCGAGAACCTTCGGGTCTGCGTCACATGGCGAACTTGGCAGGATCGTCAATGAAGAAGAATATAAAAGATTTATTTATATTTTATTTTAAGATCATTATTTTAAATATTTCAAATAAAAATTATTTAAATCAAAGAAAATGTTTAATGGTCTTTCAGCCTTTGCTGCACAATTATTATGACACATCGTCATTCAAAAACGATGTGTCACTTCGATAAGAACGTCGTTGTATGGCATGTTTTCGTAAAAACCTAAGATTCATTGCATTACAGTCACCCTTTATGTCAGCATTATTTATATATAATGTTATGTAAATATAATATTTTTGAAGATCAAATTCACCACTATATAAAGAAGGAACTTACACTTCTTTATATAATTCCATTAAGTTACTTTAAGAAATTCAATTGAAAAATTAATAATTAAATATAAATAATATTAACATATGTTCTAATGTATGGCAGGAAGTTGAAAATCAAATTGAAATGGGAAATTTTTTGAAATGTTGATCTAAAATTAATAGATGCTAAAAAACTAAGGCTAGAAAACTAAGCTTCAGAAATGCAAAGAAATCAATACGATTCAGAAATCAATAGATTTTTCTTCTTATTAAAAAATTATCCAATTGTATTAATGTCAGGGTTGTCTTTTTACCCTATTTATAGGGGATTTTCCCTATTTTTGATCTTTTCGCCCTATTTTTTCCCTATTTTATATATTTGCCATATTTTGCCCTATTTTTAACATTTTGTAATATTTTTAAAATTTTCAGACATTTTGTAAATAAAACATGAAAAAAACAAAGAAATATGACTCTTAAATTTCTAAATTTTCAAAATTTTCGCCAGCGGCGCTAAAAATGGAAAAAATCTGACCTCTTTGAAATCAATTAAATATTTATTGAGATTAATAAAATTTGTTAATTGAAATATGAAATTACAAAACAACACAACTTTTTATTGATTTTGAAGATGAGGACAATTAAACATTTAAAATATTAAAAAAATTACTGGAAAATTTAAAATTATTTTTTATTGTTAAAAATTTATTAATAAATAAATAACAATTATGTCAAGCAAGTATTCATTGAAGATTAATTAATTATAATTAATCTTCAATGACTAGCAAGGGAAATAGCGGAATTGAAATTTTGGTTAAGTGGGTAAGAGCGCTGACTACAAAATCGTCTAAAAATTGAGTCTCGGGTTCGAACCTTTTCATTGTTAATTAATATTTCCTAATTAAATAAATAAAATAAAACATGAAATAAACATTTTAAATAATATTTTAAGAGTCTAAAATTTTTTAAAAATGTTTATATTAAATAAAATTATTTTTAAATCAAAAACTTAAACGCCTTTGCCTAATTTGACAATTTTCTTGTGTATTTTCTTTGCCTCTATCGTGTAAACAATTTAACATCCATTGATGTCTAAACACTTTTTCTGCTGACAAAACCTCATCACCAGAATTTTCATAACGTGGAGCCTAAAATTGTTTTTAAGGATATTTTCAAAAATAAAAAGCTCTTACTAATCGATTGAAAACGCCATGAACACTTTCTAATCCTTGTTCATTAACGAGAGACCACCATCCATTTCTTTTAGCAAAGTCCACTGCATGTGCAGCCAGCAAGTGAAGTTTCGGAAACATCTAAATATAAAATTTGTAGAGCATTTTAATTAAAAATAAACCTGTCCTGCTTTTGCATACTTTTTTAGACTATTATGTTGCATGCCGGGCTTCCTAAGCAGCAGCTCATCCACTCACGCAGCTCATCCTTTTCCATTTAGAGTCACTTCGTGCCTTCTGACCTCGTCTTTTCCCCGTTGGGACTCATCCTTCTACTTAGAGTCACTTCGGGCCTTCGGCCTTCGTCTTCCCCCCATTGGGACTCTTCCTTCCACTTAGAGTCACTTCGGGCCTTCGGCCCTCGTCTTCCCCCCGTTGGGACTCATCCTTCCACTTAGAGTCACTTCGGGCCTTCGGCCCTCGTCTTCCTCTCATTGGGACTCATCCTTCCACTGAGATTCACTTCGGGCCTTCGGCCCTCGTCTTCCCCCCATTGGGACTCTTCCTTCCACTTAGAGTCACTTCGGGCCTTCGGCCCTCGTCTTCCCCCCGTTGGGACTCATCCTTCCACTTAGAGTCACTTCGGGCCTTCGGCCTTCGTCTTCCCCCCATTGGGACTCTTCCTTCCACTTAGAGTCACTTCGGGCCTTCGGCCCTCGTCTTCCCCCCGTTGGACTCATCCTTCCACTTAGAGTCACTTCGGGCCTTCGGCCCTCGTCTTCCCCCCGTTGGACTCATCCTTCCACTTAGAGTCACTTCGGGCCTTTCCCTCATTTGTCAGTTGGGACTCATCCTTTCACTTAGAGTCACTTCGGACTCATCCTTCCACTCAGACCTTGCTTCAACTATTTTTTTCACCTGCCAATCACAATTTCTCTCTCACCTATAAGATATGCCCCCAGGATTTCGTCATTTCCGAAAAATCGGACTTTTCACCGAAAAACCAATTTTGTGTCAGGCATATCGACCTTTCGACTTGGGATTTCGACCTCGGGGTTTTTTGTTTCGGCATTTCCAAATCATGCTCCAGTGCCCTCCAAGCGGAACTTTTCCGCTATCTTTATCCGTTCCGGAGATATCCCCTGTATCTATGCGATTTAGGTACCAAGGGGGGCAATTATTGAAAAAACAACATTTTTCCCAGATGACCCATAAAAAGTACCCAGCAAGATGTAAAAGTCCCAAATTCATATCTCAACTCTGTAAAAAGTTCTAGGTTTTTGAAAGTCACGTAGCTAAACTACCAATACTTTTATAGGCAAAGTAACTTTTTTTATATATATATATTAATAAAATAAATAAAAAAGTATTTAAAAAAATAAATAAAATAATAATACTTGACATGCCAGGTAAGAGAAACATAAAATAATATGAATTATTTATGAATTATTTATATAAAAAAAGTATTAATTAATTAATTATTCTTAAATATTAAATAATTATGTCACACGATCTACCTTTTTCAGTATCAAAAACTTTTGATATTTGACTGGTACAATTGCTATAAAACATTAATTGAATAAGCAAAAGTAAATTATAATGTTAAAATAACTTAAATAAACATAAAATAACTCTTAAAAATAACTAAATAACTAAAGATAACTAAATAAACAAGTAAAAGAGATTATTTGAATTTTAGAAAACATAAAAATAACATACAAGAAATATATTATTTTTTAATAATATATTTTGAAAATGGAGAGTTTTAAAAAGAAATATAAATACTGTTCGTACAATCGAAATTCAAGACACAAGAGTGAGAGTATTAAGGAAAATTAATACCCTCCCAGGGTTGGGTCTCCCAAGGGTCGAGAGACCTTCGAGAGACGCCCTGGGAGTCTGGTCCCCTACCTTAACGAAAACCCTTTAAAACAAAACTATTAACAAAATACTTTTATTCAACAAAAATGGGAAAGTTAAGTGGGGAGGGGAAGGAAGAAAAAGCCTTTTCTTTTTAGCTGTTTTTTTTAATACTACTGAAATTTTTTGGGCTTTTTCTTTCTTTTTATAAAGCTGAGGGAACGTGAGGGAAATCTGAGGGTAACAGCTGTCAGATCTATAACATTCTCGCCCCGTCTATTTCAAGCGTCCTCGCTTGTAATTTCTTTAAAAATTTTTTGATGTTATTTAGGCACTTGAAAAGACGGGAGAAAAAGACATTGATCGTTATTATCACTTTTATTTATTTTTATTTATTTATTTTTTGAATTTTCTTCTCTTAATTTGTGTAATTTTGGCGCCCGTTTTTAATCAAAAGAACAGTTTTCAAAGGCCATAGAACAGTTTTCAAAGGCCAACAGTTTCAAAGGCCATAAAATTTAGCTGCACCCATCCAAGATGAAATTACACGGTGACAAGTTCATTTTGTTTCTTTATTTTTATTAATCAAAAGTAAATTCAATAATTTTTTCTTTCCCTCAAATTTTCTTAAAATGTTATTTTTTATTGTTATTTTGTGCTTCTTCACTCAATCTTTCCCATGTAAGTATTTTAAATAAAATATTATAATTTGAATATTCATTGAATATATGTTGATTTTGAATATGAATTTGAATATTAATTGAATATATGTTGGTTATATTGTTTAGTGATTATATTGTTTGTTGTTAGAAATATTAAATTTAATTGAAATACAGATAATATTTTTACAAATTTGATTATAATTGAATAATGTGTTTTGAATATATTTTTGGTTATTGTTGTTGCTGATCTTGTGTGTCCGTAATCCTTCATTTTTATTTACTTATTTGGGGTTAAGGTTAATAAATCTTTAGCTTCAGAAAGGTCCTCCATAATACGGTCCAGTAAGATTTTATTTAGTACAGTGCTAGTTCCAACCTCCTTAGTTTTTAATTCATCATAAATTTTTTGTTTATCTTTCTTTTCCTTCTCATCAATGTAACGAATTTGGGAACGGACGGGAGAAATTGAATATTCTTGTCGTATTCCTCTGGCTACAACTTTCTCATCAAATTTGCTTTGATGAGTACGAGCCCGAGTTCCTTTCCAACCCTTCAGTTTATCCTCCTCCTTTACCTTTGCAAGGTATTTTTCTTTTTCTTCTGATAATTTAATTGGTACTTCATCTTCTTGCTTATCTGTAGATGCCCATTTCCCCATTCGATTAGCAAATCTTATAAAATTATTTTCTTCCTTCCTTTTTTCCTCAATATTTTTATGATTTTTATTTTTTTCTTCCTCTAGTTCTTTTCTCTCTTTAGCCAAACGGTCCTGGATTTTTCCATGAAATTGATCAGCCTTTTTTAAGACATTGCTCCAAATATCCTTATGTTTCAGCAGAATATCCTCTTCATATTTAGATCTTACTCGTCTCAATTGGGCTGCCATTTCCCAATCAACTTCATCTTCCTCTTCTTTATTTTTCTTTCCAATTTTCTTTTCGTATTTGCTTTTATCCTCAATTTTCTTTTCAACCTTTTCTTCCTTCTTCTTTCTCTTTTCGTCATTTTTACTCGTTAGTTTTTCTTCTTCTTTTCTTCCTCTTTTTCTCGATTCAACATTCTTACCGCTCTTTTCCTTTCGCTCTTTTTTATCACTTTTAAACTTCTTTTTCTTTTCTTTGGACATCGGCATTAGTGGTTCATATCCTTTATCCTGAGTATCCTCCTCACTGGAGATTTGTTCGAAATGTTGAGGCAATTTTTCAATAGTATTATTATCGTTGTCTATAATAATATCCTCACTAATAATAGAATTGTCAGATTGTGACATCTGTAAATTGTTAAATATTATATCTCCATTATTAATTTCATTATTGTTAGTGGTGTTATTAGTATTTGTTTTTGTTATATTGTTAAAAAAATCCAAATTGTTAGTAATAGCGTTAATATGTATCCGATCTTCTTCAGTCTCGCTTTCCACTTCAGAACTCTCAATATTTTGGTCCCCAAAAATTTTAGTTTTACTTTCAGTATTTTCAATTTCTTCTGAATTAAAATGTTTGCATCGATCCATATGGACGAGCCATGAATTTTGAATAGATCCCGAATCAGAAATAAGCAAATTCGGGGTTTGTACTTCGACTATCTCAAAGGGTCCTTCATATTTTTCCCCAAATTTTTTAATATTTTCCATTTTGCGAATTAAAACTTTTTCTCCTTTCTTCCAGGTCTTTTTATTGATTTTTATTTGTTGCTCTTTCATTGTCTCCGTATTTCCCTTTAATCGCATTTCCACATCCTTTCGAATACTCTGAAGATTTTCAACCAAATTTTTTACATATAAATTCATATCATCAAATTTCTCTCTTTCTACCTCAAGGGCAGCTTCAGTTGGTAATTTTGGTAGAAATCCATGAATTACGAAAAAGGGGGTATTACGAATTTGTTCATTATATGACGTATTATAGGCAAAAATAACATGAGGTAGAGTTTCAACCCAGTTTTTCCCTTGATCGGTACATGTAGCAATCATATCCGTCAATGTTCGGTTAAAGCGTTCAACCATGCCATTTGCAGACTGATGATAGGCAGTAGTAGGTTGATGACGGAATTTTAAGGTATTAGCTAAATCCTGAAAAGTTGCGGACATAAATTGTGTCCCTTGATCTGTAACAATTTTAGAGGGTATTCCGAATCGGCATATAATTTCCTTCATAAAAATATCACTTATAGTGTTTGCAGTTTGATTTCTTATTGGTAACGCTATTGCCCATTTACTGAAGGAATCAACTGCAACAAAAATGTATTTATGTCCATATATTGATTTCTGTATTGGTCCTAATAGATCAATATGTATTCTCTCAAAGGGACGAGAAGCCGGCTCTATTGGACAAATTTCCTCTCGGCTAAGATGTTTACCAACGATTTTTCTTCGTTGACAAACTTCACAAATACGTATTTTATCCATCACATCTTTTGCCATTCCCTTCCAACTCATTGTTCTTTTTAATTTTTCCAATGTTCTTTTAAGTCCTAAGTGTGCTCCTTGGAGAGAATCCTCATGATATTCTTTAATAATTTTATTTTGTAGAATTTGTGGAATTAAAAATTTCCAGTCATTATTTATTTTTTTGCATATTATTCCATTAATTTTTTGAATATTTTCATCTCCCTTTTGGAATAAATCATGAATTTCATGGTCCTGATTTTGTGCTTCAACTAATTTTTCACGAGAGATTTTCTCCTTTAATTCAATAGCTTTAATAATTATTTCTTCCTCAGGGGGATAGCGTGACAGATGGTCTCCAACTTTATTAAATTTTCCAGGTCGATAAATAATATTAACGTCAAAAGCTTGTAAGATCATTTGATACCGCGCAAGTCGTCCTTGAAGATCTTTTCTTCGGAAAAGCGAAGTAAGTGCCGAATTGTCAGTGATTACTGTAGACGTACCAGCCCCTTCCAAATATACTCGAAATTGTTTCAGGGCTGATACTAATGCCAGAGCTTCTAACTCCACAACACTGTAATTTTTTTCATGTTTATTTAAAGTACGGGAATAGAACGCTATTGGATGAATTTCTTTTTGTTGATTTTCTTGTAGAAGGCAAGCTCCAATGGCAATTCCACTCGCATCGGTCTCTAAGATGAAAGGCTTTCCAAATCGTGGTGTAGCTAGAATCGGTGCACTCGTCAATCTTTTCTTCATTTCCTCAAGGATTTTATCATGTTTTTCAGTCCAATCTCTTGTTGATTCCTTTTTAGTAAGATCATAAATGGGGGCCATAATTTCAGCAAAGCCTTTAATAAATCGTCGGAAGTAACTAAATACTCCGATCAAGGAACGTAATTCTGCTAGATTTTGTGGTTTCTTTATGGTAAGTATAGGTTTTAAATCCTTATCATCCATTCTCACTCCCTTATCAGAAATTAAAAATCCTAAATAACGAATCTCAGCACATCCCCATCGGCATTTTTCTGCTCTTAGTTTCATCCCAACTTTACACATAACATTAAGGAAAGCTTTTAAATCCTCCAAATGTTGATTCTCAGTCTGACTTCCTAGAATAACATCATCCAAATATACTAGGAAACTTCGTGACAATTGTTGTCTAATCTCTTCCATAACTTTTTGAAACGTATGGGGTGCTCCTGCCAGACCAAATGGTAATCTTAAAAATTCATAAAGTCCACAATGAGTAATAAAAGCTGTTCTATCCGTGTGTTTTTTGTCCATTTTTACTTGGTGAAATCCGCTTTGTAAGTCAAAAATAGAAAATAAGCTTTTTCCTCCCACGACATCAATTAAGTCTTGAATTCGTGGAAGAAGATAAGTTTGTTTCTTTGTACATTTATTCAAGGCTCGATAATCAACTGCAAATCTCCATGATTTGCCGTCAGCCTTTTTTACTAAGACAATTGGTGAAGCCCAAGCTGAGGACGATGGTTTAATAATGTTTTGTTTTAGCATTTCTTTAATTTGGGTTTCCACTTCCTCCCTTAATGCGTGAGGTATAGTATAAGGACGTTGTAAAACAGGACGAGTTCCAGGTTCTAATTCAATTTGGTGCACAATTTTTCCTCGGTAAAGTCCTATTATTCCATCAGACTGTACAAAAGCACTCTTTTTCTCGTCCACCATATTTTTTAGCATCAGAATTCCTTCCTTAGATAGAGCTGTACCCTCTAAATTAAGTTTTTCTGAAATTTTTTCATTTTTATCCTCCAGATTTGGTAAATTAGGTAATTCATCCTCCCAATTAACTTCTGGGGAAACATATTCGTCCTTCCTTTTAAATACTTCAATAGAATTTGTTTCATTTTTATCCTGAATAATTGGTTCCAATATTCCAACTCTAGACTTAGCATAGACTTGCAGGGGCGAATTTCCAAAATTCAATAATCGTAATGGAATTAATCGCGATGATCCTGGTTTAGACAACGTTTTTCCAACTTTTAAAGGCCAATACTCATGATTTTCCCACTCTTCTAATATAAATTCTTGTGTAGGGTCAAAACTTCTGTTTATTGTCCCCCAAACAAAAGAATCAGACTGGGGCGGTAAAACATGGTTTTTCAATAATCTTATTTCAAGCTGCTTCTTTGGTATTTCCATATACTCCATAGAGGCTATCATTGGTAAAACATCTTCCCCCAATTGTATGGTCATATTTTTAAAATTTAAATGGATTTGTTCCTTTTCTTCCATGAAGTCGGTTCCAATTACTAATCCCCCTGGGCAAGCTTGATCTTCAGATATTAATAATGGCCATCTCAACTTAGAATCTCCTATTTCAATTGTAGCCATTGCCGACCCTAAAAATGAAATTGGGGTTGAATTAGCCGCCCATGCCATTGGCACATCTCCAGCTTTAATTTTCATTCCACATTTTAATGCAACTGATCTTCCACAATAAGAAATATCTGCCCCACAATCGATTAACGCTTTTTGTCTTATTCCCTCCAAAATTACTTCAATATAGCATCTTTTTCGATTTTTCACAGCACAAATCGATGGGATATAGTCCAGTATATATGCTTTCTCTTCCAATTGATTTAATGTGGGCGCTGAAGGGGTAGGGGATTTTTCTTCCAATTCAATAGCATTAACTTTAATTTCACTTCTTTTATGTCTACCACTTTTTCCTCCAAAGAAAATTCTAATAAACGATCGCCCAATCAATATTCCTTTCCACATAATAGAGAATAAGGCACGAAATTTCCAAGATAAATACGTGATTACTAATAGGGCTGACAAAATTAGAAAAGCCATTAAAATCCAATATAATCTCTGCATAAATGTCCATTTATCCTCAATGAATTCCTTTGCCCCAGAAACAATTTCACTACCTTTACTGTGAATATCTTCAGCCAATTTTTTTCCTCTTTCAATACCAAACTCTAAATTTTCCTTTAAATGCTCAAAAACTTCCCCCGTAACATTTTTTCCATTTTCCAGTATTTTTGGGAAGCCTAACATTCCTGAGAGTACATCCTCCTCTTCCGGTCGTTTAATCTCCTCCGGCAAAGTAATATGCTGATGAATTAAATCTGAGAATTTTTGTATGTCTTTCACCTCTATTTTCTCTTCCTCAAATTTATTTCCAGCTTTAACAAGAATTCCTGTCTTTAAATCAATTATTGGATTAATTTTTAGTGAATGCTGTTCTTGATCAAAATTCAATAACTTTGTTCTATTTAAAATAATTCTTTGTTCATTACACGCTTTTGTTTTTGATTCAAATAACAGATCAGGGCTTCCTGGTGTGGCAAACAATAGTTTACCTCTTATTTTTACAGGCAATAATTCATAACATTTATCTTCAACTTTCTGATCCCATATTATTTCTTCAACCTTGACTGGGGTACATAATCCTAAATTCCATTTTAATTTTATTCCATTTTCCAAAGATGCTATTAAATCATTTCTCCCATAGAGTAACCTTGCTGCTTTGGTGGGATTTGTTTCAGCTATAATTTTAGCGATTTGTAGTTGTTGATTTCTATTTTGGCAAGTATTTTTCCACTGTTCTCTCATTATTTCCTCTCGAGCTTGGGATTCTTCCCACGACAAATAATTTAATCGACTTTTCTCATGATTATCCTTAATTTTGTTATCTCGTTCTTTTTGTGCTTCCTCGGGATCAAACAATTCTCTTTTATTTAAGGGTGTCAGAGTAGAGATTTTTAAATTTTCATCCAAAAGTCCAGGTTCTCCTTTTGGTCCAGGTAATCCATTCTTCCCATTAATACCTGGGCTTCCTTTATCGCCTTTAGGTCCAACCGGGCCCTGAGGTCCTTGTAGTCCATCCAAACCATTTTTCCCATTTAACCCTGGTAATCCAATTTGTCCAGGATTTCCAGGAATTCCAATATCGCCTTTTTCTCCTTTACTCCCTGGAACAGCATCTTGCCCCGAGGCTCCTTTTGACCCTCTAGGTCCCGTATAACCCATATCTCCCTTTTCTCCAGGTGCTCCTTTCATTCCTCTAGGTCCAGTAAATCCCATGTCTCCTCTTTCTCCGGGTGCTCCAGGTCTTCCATCTGGGCCCGGTATGCCTCGATCTCCTTTTAAATAATTATTTTTAATTTGCTGTTGTACTGGGAGGTGATAATTTGGATCAATAGTAGGTGTTGTATACATTCTTTTATTATGAATAGGTGTTGTTGTTGTACTTAAAATTGGGCGTTTTGTAGTTGTTAATGGACGAGTTGTTGTTTCTATTGTTTTAATAATTTGTGGAATTGATGTTGTTGTAGTAGTCGTGGTAGTGGTACGTCTAAAGTTTTGTTTTTTTGTAACTTGCCTCTTTTGAATGATTCTTTCAGTTGTATTTAAAATTAATATAAAAACGTCATTGTCCATTGGCCAAGCCTCCTCAGGAACACCTAATACCTCAGAATTTCTTGAAATGTTCTCGGACGGCGCGAAAACATATTGTAATTCGTTAACTTTAACTAATCCATTTATAGAATTATTTTTGTAAAATATCTCTGCTTGTACTGGGCCAAATGAATAATGGGTATAGATATAATCTTCCGAGGGAGCGTTCCATACAATAACGGAAAGTAATTTTTCTTTATCTTCAAAAGAACCATTTATAGAATGAGCATCCAAAGATTTTGAAACTCCAAAACTAGTCTCGAATCTTTTATTCATTAATGCACCTTCTCCTTCCTCTAGAAAATAATGTTTATCGATAACACAATGCTGTCCAAACCATGCATATTTTAAATCATTATTAAATGAAACGGACCATAAAACCTCACTAATTCTTCTTAATTTTGTGCTCTTAACCAAGTTCCAACAACTTTCTGGGCTTAATGAGAATATTTCCCATTTAACTGGCAAATCCTCCTGATATATCAAAATAGACTTGGTACATTTAGTTTGTTTCTCCAACCAACATCGGTAAATAGGAAAATATCTTGGGACTAATTTTGGCAAAAACAAGGTAACATTTTTCAATTCAGTTCTGTACATAGGCGGTAATAAGCATTCTTGAGGTGATGGAAAATCAATTGGAAATCCACTTTTATCCTTAGGACATATTTGGTATTGAGCAGAAATTCCGGAAATTAAAACATTTATTATCACCAATAATGTAATATATGGCATCGTTAATGCGCTTATTCTGGCCGATGTAGACGGTCCTGACTCAACGTTCCTTGGGTTGTTTATTGGAATTCTATTTGAATTAAATGATCCCGCTCCTCTGCGTTGTCCCCACCTTCCTGGGAATCCACGACTTTGAGCACTTCCCCTCCAATTATTTTGGAATCTCACTCGGTTTTCCCCCAAATTTTCAAAATTCCTCCTTGGATTCCATTGCGGTCTCCAATTTCCTCTATTGGGAACATAACCTCTTCCTCTCCAGTCAGTTCTAGGATTTTGCCAATTTTGTCGATTCATATTATCATTTTTCTCAAATTTATCCTTTATGGCATTAACTTCGGCCCGGACTGCATTTACCTCAGTTAAAGCTTGTTCAGTTAAATTATGTTGATGTAGGCGACATTTATCTTCCTTTAGGGAACACTGAATTTCTTCGATTTCTTTAGCCAAATTAATAGTTTCTTCCAATGAGTTAGTAGGCCTAAATGCGAGTTTTTCTTTAATTTCCATACATAGACCATTTTTGAAGTAATCCTTAGCAATGTCGTCCCTCCATTGTTTTATTCGTTCAGATCGAGCTTCTGGTAATTCTCCAAGAATCGGTGCAAATGAACCTTCTGGAAAAGCTTTATTAATTAGACCTCTAATAATTTGAGCATATTCTAGAATCGACTCCTTTGGTTGTTGTTTTCTATTCGATAATGTTCTTCGAGCCGATTCTTTAGAATTAAGTTTCTTTAATTTAAGTGCCAGAGCATCAGTCAGGCCTTTCCACGTATTACGAGCTCCAGCATCCAAGGATTCATAGATTGCTCTAGCTTCCTCAGTCAAATATAAAGGGAGTATTTGGCAACATCTGGACGCGGACCATTGATGGGCTGTAGCTAATTTGTTAAATTTCCTTAAATAAGAGTCAAATTCCTCAAGTCCAGAGTAATATTCTGGAAGCGGTAATCCATGTGAAGAGGTTCCAATTCCAATTTTAGTTATTTCCTTCTCAAGATTATTAAGCTTTTGTTGTAGATCCTCCATAGTTTGCTGTCGAGTCCTTCTCCTTATTAGTTCGGGATTCTCCTCTTCGTCAGCAGTATAGAGTTCCTCTTCAGATTCCAGTATTTTTTTTAAATATCCAAAATTAAATATAGAAAGATTTAAAATAAATATTTTCCAGAATTATTTTATTTTTAATAGTGTTGTTAATTTTAGTGTGTTGTTTAATTTGTAGTTTAATATTGCTGACAAATTCACCAAAAATAATTCTCCTCTGGGTAATTAATTGAGCCGCTGCCAATTTACTTTTTCCTTTCTATTTTAGCTTATTTTAAGCTATATCATCATTTTGCGAACATTCTGTCTAGGGTTGCCAAAATGGACCGACTCGGACCAAAAGATCGAGTCATGCCTCGATGTTTGGCCCGAAAAAGTCTCGTACCGGCCCGACTCGATAAATTTGGGCCCGAAAAAGACTCGTAACGGCCCGACTCGATAAAGTTAGGCCCGAAAGTGACTCGTACCGGCCCGACTCGATAAAAACAGGCCCGAAAAAAATTGTCTCGGAAAAAGTCGGCCCGACTCGAACGAGACTCGATAATATTTTTACCAGATTTGTGGACAAAAATGGATGAAATCTGGCTCCTTGGCCTTCCAAAATTCAAAAAATTTTCGCCTGCGGCGCTGAAAAAGGAAGAGTTTGGTCCTTAGCCTTCCGAATATTTCAAAATTTTTGCCTGCGGCGCTGAAATGAAGGATTTTTAGCTCCATACTTTGCTTCTCATCTTCCATTTATAGCGCCGCAGGCGAAAATGGTCGAAAAAAAACTTTTTCGACCATTCTTTTACTAATTTGTCCCCCTTTCCCCTATTTCGGGGGGGGGGGGCTCTAGCAGCCCCACTGGACACGCCCTTGAATTAAGTGTACGAGGAATTTATTAAGTGTACGAGGATCAAGGATACGAGGAATTTTAGCATACAGCGGGATTTTATTAAGGGATTTGGTGATTAACGCACGATATCCCCGATATCCCTTCAAATCTCCTCATTCCTTCTAAATCCCATTACAATATATCACCTTAATCATCTGATATACGATCCTGAACCCCTTAATCATCTGATCTCCTTTAATAAAATCAAATCTAGCAATATCTCACCCCAATCCTCCGATAATTTAAATCACCTTAATCCCTCAAATCCACTGATATCCATCTCAATTCTCTTCAGCCCTTCCTTTACCCTCCTGATCCATCGATATACCTTTTAATTCACAGATATCCCTCCAAATCCACTAATTATTTTTAAATAAATCTTTTAAAAAAAGACTCGAAAATGTCTCGGTGCCCGACTCGATAAAGTCAGGCCCGAAAGTGACTCGTACCGGCCCGACTCGATAAATTTAGGCCCGAAAAAGACTCGTATCGGCCCGACTCGATAAAGTTAGGCCCGAAAAAGACTCGTACCGGCCCGACTCGATAAAAACAAGCCCGAAAAAAAGTGCCTCGACCGTCGGCCCGACTCGAAAACGGCAACCCTAATTCTGTCAGATACTCCCGGCCGAGAGTAAAAAACATATGACCGCTTTTATTTTCTTCTTTTATTTTCTTTTTCACGTGAACATTATTTTATTTTTTACCTCTTATAGGTATTTGATTTATGTGGGGCCCCCTTTTTTATTTATTTTTGGAAAAGAGTGATTTTTGGACCTTGCGATTTGCCCATTCTTAATTTAGAAAAAGAATATTTTGGTGTTTGTAGTTTGTGAATTTGTGTTTTTATTTGTTTTATTTTGTGTTTTTGTGTTTTATTTTATTTTTATTTTAAGTGGAATTTGAAGAGGTTGAATGCCCCGCTGACTTAAAATGTGCCCAGAGATGTTTTGGACCCGTGGAATGGAATGAGCCCGTTATTTGTTCAAAAACTCGGCCCATAGTTTCCACAGAGGGAGAAGAGAAACAAGAAACACCATTTTCTCATACATTCCACTTCTATATAATTTATGCCTTCCTTGGCTTAATCCTGATCTCAATTCTTATTTTGGCATATTATGTATCGAAACATCGTCCAATAATTCCTGGACGTGCCATCCCCAAAACTCGTCCCTCTACCCATAAACTTAAACCCGAACCGATTTTTATATCGGCGGTATAACTCATTAATTAAGCACAGCACTCAGACAACAGCACTCAATAAATATTTTTTTGTTAATTTTTAAAAATTTCATATTGTTAAGAAAAATGGTACTTGTTAAAATTTGTTAAAGGTTGTTAAAATAAAAATTTTAATATATATATTTTTTGAAGATAATGTGTTTAAAAGTAAACTGAGTGTAAATAATATTATTATATATTTTTAACAAACGAAATTGTTCCGGAACACGCGAGAGAAAATTAAAAATTTAATTATAATTATAAATTTATTTATTAACGAAAATTATTGTAAATAAAATATTTAAAACAATTGATCCGGGCGGATCCCTAATCAAAGGATCCGCCTAGGACCTCCATATTAAGGAAAATTAATACCCTCCCAGGGTTGGGTCTCCCAAGGGTCGAGAGACCTTCGAGAGACGCCCTGGGAGTCTGGTCCCCTACCTTAACGAAAACCCTTTAAAACAAAACTATTAACAAAATACTTTTATTCAATAAAAATGGGAAAGTTAAGTGGGGAGGGGAAGGAAGAAAAAGCCTTTTCTTTTTAGCTGTTTTTTTTAATACTACTGAAATTTTTTGGGCTTTTTCTTTCTTTTTATAAAGCTGAGGGAACGTGAGGGAAAGCTGAGGGTAACAGCTGTCAGATCTATAACAGAGAGTTTTAGAGGAATCATAGAAAAAAGCTCGAGTTCTTTCAAGGCAGGACATCACTAGCAAGAATGGAAATTATAGTTTTTTAAACAAATTAATTAAATTAAGAAAATGATCATTAATAACATAAAAAGTTTTTCACAGTAATAAAAATTAGTTACTAATAAGGATCCTTATATAAAAATTATTTCTATATCTTTAAAATCACTCTTTAATAAAAATTTGCAAATTACAATAATCAATTTCTAAAAATTTCGATAAATTAATTTAATAATTTGATTTATTGCTTAAAAGCAACCATTATAGCATCTTCCAAACACTAATAGTTTTGCAGTTGAATTACTTCACGAAGGAATAACTTTTCATCGTAGATTTTGTAGAGCAAGTCCATAACCTATCAAATAAATTTATATGAAAAATGTTTTTTATAAAACTCATTAAGGATTTTAATATAACAATTACTTTTTACTTAAAGATGAACCTACCACCATGAAGTTCCATACTGTGATACTCCTTTTCAATTTATTTTTGACAATTCTCTTGATTCCAGTTGTTATTCATCAGACCCGCCAGCAGCAAATAACTTCTTCAATCTATATACTGAAATATGAGCTCTGTTCCGAAACGCCCAACGAATTATGTTCGTACTAATTTCGAATAAGTATTTGTAAAAAAAACAAAGTATAAATTAACATTAATAAAAATATTTACTATAATTTATTTCTCTAACTATTTAATTATAATTAATTAAAAAGGAAAGAATTCGGCATTAAAAATGATTAAAATTTTAAACATGTAATGTGGTATTTTAAAAACATTTAATTTAGTTGATTATGGACTTCAAATATTTTAATATTAGACTTAAATATGGTGTGTAACATAATTATAAAGGAACCCATATTTTCGGTCATATCTCGAGTTTTTCTGGATGGATTTGGCTGAATTTTATATTTGTGATTAAAAACCTTATCTTGGCATAACCTGCAAAAAATTAAGCGGTTTTATCAAAATTTAAGAAAAAAAATTTATCTTTGAGAAATAATGAGTTTAGTTTGTAAATTAGATTTTCTTCACTTTTTGGGGGGCGTTTGAGTGATTTCTTTGATTTGAAAGTTTATCACATTAAGTATTATAATAGAATTTTTTTCGGAAAATAAAATTATTGATATCTTATAGCAGATTTCAAGGGCTTTCAAATAAGCTCAAAATGAAAATTTTATTTAGTTTATAAGGGGTCGAAAATATTTTTTAAAGACGTCTACCCCCTGTTTTCCGTAGATTTTCGAGTTTCGAGATCTCGATGATAGAAGTATATTAGAACTTCGTTTCTTTTGTATTTCTCATTGATATCAATAGATATGTTCACTGGAATTTTTGTGGATTTTTTCTACCATATTTAGGTAAATTATTTTTACTTCCTTTATAATTATGTTACACCAAAATTTTTGAAAAAAAATCATAAAAAATTTAAATTTTGATAAAACCGCTTAATTTTTTGCAGGTTATGCCAAGATAAGGTTTTTAATCACATATATAAAATTCAGCCAAATTCATCCAGAAAAACTCGAGATATGAACGAAAATATGGGTTCTTTTATAATTATGTTACACACCATATTAGACTTATATTTAGTCTTTGAACCGCTGATTGCTATGTGTAAAACAAGACATAAGTTTGGAATTATTTGCATTGTCTCAATTTGGAGGAGCATTATGCCTCAAGGTAATAACCTTCCCTCCCCCCCCCCCCCCCCCCCCAAAGGTCCTATCAAATGTCCCAGCTGTGATAAATTTACATGCA